GTTATGTTCGTAAACGGGCGCCGACAACGATTACTGGCTAGCTCCAGACTGTATGATTTTATTGTCTTTAGGGATATTTTATTTTTCAATCTCGTTGACTGGATTTTGGTGTTACGTTGTTCTGATACAATTGAACCCACATGCAATTATCTCATACAATTATGTAACAAAAGATTTGTATTGTAAACCTGATTAAAAAAGTATGGAGTTTCTTGTTCGTTCTTCTCCATAGGAATCTACACCTTGGAATGAGTCGCGGAGAACCTAACCGGGGCTCCGGCTCGACGTGCAGAAGAAGGAACGGGGTGGTTTTTAGTCAGTAAGAGTCTGACACTCCCTCACGCCTCACCCAGGTGGGAGCAATCATTCGATGATTTTCCCCCCTTATAAAAAAAACACCTTGAAATAGCTTCACTTTTAATTTTTTGTTGACGTTCAAAAGTGCCTTTCTGGCCTACGAGTTTGGGAAACGAGCTCGAAACCCCTTGCTCCACTCCAGAATCGGAATAAGTAAAGCGAAGCTCGCCCTGGGGCCATATGACATCCTTTTTAAAACCCAGTCAGAATCCATGCAAATCAGTCTACGGCCGTAATTGCTTGTTCTTTTTATTATGATTTTAGTTAAACTGACTAGAAACATCCTGGATAGTTGTCGATGGCTAATTTGCTCTGACTTGAAAGAAGATTGACTGATCTGACTCGAAAACATCATAACAAAGTTTACAGGCGACTGTGAAAGCCAGCCATAAATCGGTAAAGTGTCACGTGATTCCTGACTGGCTGGCAATAAGACCTCATAATAGGGATAAACAGTTCATTTTAAGACGAAAATTGACTGGTATTTGGATGATGACAGGGTATGAAAATTAAAAATATAATTAGTACCTAAGTAAGTTAGGTAATGAAAAAAGATTAGACACGTATTTTTTTGTCGGATAATAAAACAATACTTAGATAAAACGAATCAAAGTTTAAGAGTGGGGGCTAAAACGTCATTTCTACGCATAAAATGTACATAGAAGTGACGTCACACGACATTTCAAATCAATATATCGTCGAAAGTATTGGTTTCTGTGGGAAAATAAAAAAATACGTGTCTAATTACGGACGGACATTAAAATAAAAATTAGGCATCTACCCTATGTGTTAGAGGTCCTGTTTTCTTTGTAGACACTCGCGTTCAATGCATGCAAATATCGACTAATGATGGTCGACGTCCACTTGGATGCTTAAAATTTCTGCATTCTGGTCTTACATAGAGATTCTCAAATAAGGCCTGGAAATGTGATGAAATGGTTCCAGTAAAGGATGGTAAGGCAGTGTTTGCTTTGCGCTCGACATGGCGGGGGCACTGCCGTGCCCATGGATTCAAGTCTTGTCATTCAGATTCCTTTCAACTGACAACTTGTCATTTGTAGCAGCGCTGTTTACAATTGGAACAATACATACATATCACGCCTGTCTGTCACTCATTAGAGTAAGCAGCAATAACAATTGAAACAGCCATTGTTTGTTATGACGTAACGATGTCAAATTACACAATAAATGACGTTATTCTGACGTAACCCTGTACACTGTAACAATGTTTTATTTTTTATTTGATGTACAATGTTTTATACCATTGCCTTTTAATTTACATCCCTGACTGTACCTGTTCACCAAACTCGACATAAAGGTACATAATAAGAAGCGTAAAATATCAATACTTTGGAGAACAATAGACTTCCTGGCTTGACATAACAGGAATCGACATAAAGGGAACCAATCATTGTTTACACGTGGGAGAGCTGCTTCGGCACGAAGAGCCGGCTCAACTGGAGTGGTACCACAGCCGGGCAGAGGAAAACCGACGTGAAACAGTAACTGATTGTTTTTTAAACTTTTAAATAGCAATTTTGAAACAACATTTGCGTTGTGTTTCATCGTGTGAGTGAGGTTACCGGAGGCCCAATTAATAAAACAACCATTGGGCATCCAGGTACTAAATATCCGAACTGTAAAAGTGAGCTTGTGTCTGTGACTCAACCACGTCAAAACAGCTCTAGGGATTTTTTTTTTTACTTTTTCGAAATCGAAATCATCCAATGCCTCTGTTATGAGTATCAATCTGTTATGAGTATCTTGTAAAAGAGAATTTAATTTATTGACATATGATAATGATTGTAATAAAGTAATTATGATGTAATGTAATATAATAATATTTACAGTGCATGACCCTTTTTTTTTAAGGGGGGAAAATCATCGAATGTCTGCTCCCGCCTGGGTGAGGCGGGAGGCAGTGTCAGACTCTTACTGACTAAAAACCACCCCGTTCCTTCTCCTGCACGTCGAGACGTAGCCCCGGTTACCCGTAGGGATAGGGATCGGGTGTCGGGGATCGCGGGACGATCTCCGGCCACCGTAAGCGTGGGACTGCGGACGACGAGCATGGATGGCTCCCCGTCCGACCAGAAACAGACCCGAGCGTACGGCGCGTCGCGTTCCGCGCGCTTCAAAGAGCCATCAGACCACCACAGATGGGGCCCAATACGGCCGATGCCGATTCGGAGTCGCGGACAACCTAACGGGTAACCGGGGCTCCGACTCGACGTGCAGGAGAAGGAACGGGGTGGTTTTTAGTCAGTAAGAGTCTGACACTCCCTCCCGCCTCACCCAGGCGGGAGCAGTCATTTGATGATTTTCCCCCTTAAAAAAAAAAGGGATGAGGCTGGAATTCGGAACAGAGGTAGAGGTACTTCTGCGACCAAGTTGGAAAATAAAACGAAAATAAGACTCTTTATAAAAATACTGTATTCAATTAAAATATAAATTAAACAATAATTAATTAATATTAAAAAAATCACAAAAGTATTAGTACAAATACGTTTTTTAAGGTTCATTTCACAATGTCTGATTAATTTTGAGTTTTCTGTAGCGTACGGATCACCTGTGACTACCGCAACACTAGAATGCGTTGATAGCCATTTGGGATTATGATTATTTCTGTTAGTTTATTGTATAGTTTAACATATTTCCCGTACAAAATGTGACAAAAAATATGTCAAGTAAGACAAAATTCAATAATACGAACAGCCTATAAGTGGCCACTGCTGACCAAAAGCCTCTATTCACACGAAGAACGCTTGCTCGATGCGTTGGAAATTTCAAACTTATAATTAGACATTTTAAGTCCAGGTTTCCTCAGTTTTCCTTCACCGTTCGTCAGTGGTGTCTAAATAATCTTAGAAAGTACATATAACTTGGACAAAGTCACATTGGTGCTTGCCGTTGGTAAGTTTCGAAACTGGACCCTCATGCATGAGAAGCCTTAGACCTCCGGGCCACTACGACATATTTATTAATCAGAAATTGTGAAACATACCTATAATATAATATTTTTTGCAATTAAAAGAAAAATAAAAACATATAGAAATGCAATAATATAGGTAATCAAGTTTGTGCATGTATTTGGGACTGTAACATAACGACTTTTAACTCAAAGGATAGATAATAGTATCGGTAGTTACAATATTATACTTCGCTAGGAGATTAGGCTACTCCCAGTTGTACAGTCTCTTATTGTGCCTAACTTAAGTCATTCTGTCTCCTATAATTGCACCGAGGGAAATGGGGACTGTCGTTTCTTATTCTCCACTCATAATATTTTCTAATTTATTTCGTTGCAGGAACCAAGACAGTTATTCATGTCCCTGGGACGCGCCGGACTTCAGTGTTCCGGTGTTTTCACGGTTGTATCTACTGTACTGTACTTACAGGAGTTGCAGTGGTTTTGGGAGGTTGTGGCGGGCTTCTCTCATAAAAAAACATTTCGCCCGTTATGTTACGAGTCTCATTGTTGTAATAAAAACGAGTCCATTGCTAAACATTACTTAAAATCTCAAACCTAAAAGGCCCGACTTAATAATCGAACCCTACTTCATCAGTTAACTAATTATGTATGACTAGTATGCCCAAAAAATTTAGAGATCTTCGTGTAATAACGTGTGCGTGCTTACGTAACAATAGATAACTTTGTAATACGAAAACATTTTTTGAGAATCATAAGGCTCGTAGGTACACAAAACTGCGATGCGAATTCGCAACGCAGAAAATTACGACACGAATTGCTGCGATACGATTTCGTGCGACAAGGCGTCTCCCAGCGTGACCATTCCTTCGACGACCGTCAACCGTACTAAACGTATTTTAAATTGAAAACTAGATCGTGACATGGATCGTTAAAAGAAGTGTGCACTTGTGCCATTGCTAAAAAGATACAGAAAAAAGAAACAAAGAAAATTCTGGGAAGATTTTGATGCGCGATGCGAATCAATTCGTAAGTTCTTGCGATGCGTAGAGGCAGCTCGCAGTTTTGTGTACGAGCCCTTAGGTAGTTCAAAATTGTATGAAAATATTCATTTCTCTGCTGATCCTTTTTAACTGTAACTTATAATAAAATACACCATAGTTCAATAGAAAAATCTATATATATATTTGATAGTATAATGTAATTATACTATCAAATCTAATTATACTATCAAATCCCTGAAGAATAAACAGCTGACGAATTTGTTTGTATGCTTGTTTTCTTGTTTGTTTGTTTGAATGCATTTATCTCCGAAACTATTAGTTCGATTTGAATAATTATTTTTGTGTTGGATAGTCTATTTATAGAAGAAGGCTATAGGCTATGAAACATCACGCTACGATCAATAATAGGCGAGCAGCGAGTGTATCTGCGCGACAGTTACTAGCTATACTTATTATTAGTTGTCATCAATAATTTATAATACCAACTTGGTATTATTTATACCATAACACCACACCTTCCATCCCCGAAGGGGTAGTCAGAGTCAATGTGCATACATTACGGCACTTAATGCCACTGTACAATGTAACACCCACTTTTCACTATTTATATTATGAGTTCCATGTATTAAGGGGTGGGCCTATTGCCATATACCGGGCACAATTCTAGACTCCGTGTTACTACTGAGTTTTTTAAAAAAAACGCAGTAGTACCTTGCCCCATTGCACTTGCGACCACTCGGCCAACGAGGCAGCTCTTACTAATAGTGGTCTAATAATATAAATCAATATCTTACTAAACCTCGTTACATTGTTCACTGGTATTATGTGCCGTAATATGCACCTCTGCCTACCCCTTCGGGGATGGAAGACGTGATGTAATGTTATGTTAGGTATGTCTTAGTAAATCAAAGATTTCTATTGAACTATTGTTTTCACAATATTGAGTGGAGTTTTTGTGTATAAAGTTAATTCCAATCTTGGAAGTTCTGTTTGAAAGCAGTTGGCTCCACGCCTTCAGGAACCCTGGTTACGTGTACCTGAAAAAAATAATAAAATTGTAACATTGCGGTACAGTTTTCAAATGATACAATATGATAAGTGCCATGCTTCGGCACTGCTTCGCCGGCTCGACCGGAGTGATACTACGGCCGAGCCGAAAACCGATATCAAAATTCAAAATCAAAGATCAAAATGAATAATACAATTGAATCAATCATTCATAACATATTATAGTATTGTAATGTATCAAAATAATTAATACATAATATGTCGCTGCCTTCTACTGATAAGATGTGTAAGCGGGTTAAAAATGTCATAAACAATAATCCTTGTCCATGTTTGTCTATGTTATTTTTTTTATAATTTAAAATTAAAGTCAGTCGTTACTTGTCACTTTCAAGCGTCGTTTCATTTTATATAGACTACAACAAACCAATCTATTCCTGTCTGTCTTATTCGATTTCCGACTTTAATATTTTGAGTATAAAGTCCAACCTACCATATATCCCGCTATAAGACTATAGTCCCATTATTATGAACATAGTTTGGTAGGTACATTTATGCCGGTCCGACTCATTCGATTTTCAACTATAATGTTCTGAGTATAAGGTCGCAAATTAACCTACCATATGCCTACGCTATGGGCTATGGGCCTATTTATCTATAGCTAGGCACATTATGTCGGCTCAAGGTCACGCTATCAGACGCGGTCGATATAGACGGCGCCATAGTATATAACACTAAAACATCGTACCCAAGAGATTTGTAACAACGTAATGTGAGTTATTATGGCATGTCCTGACTTCGCTCGCTTTTGGGGGGGGGGGGGGAATATTCATCCAATGACTTCTCTCGCCCGGGTGAGACGAGAAGGAGTGTCAGACTCTAAGCCCCCTTACGCACTAGCGGTCAACCGCGCGGCTAGCCGGTCCCTGCGGTTGACCGCTTTTCCAATTTAATATGCAACCGCTATGGCAACCGCGTCTGTTGATATGAACCGCCTCGGCGGTCAACCGCTAGTGCGTAAGGGGGTTACTGACTAAAAACCACCCCGTTCCTACTTCTGCACTTCGAGCCGGAGCCCCGGTAACCCGTTAAGTTCTCCGCGGCTCCGTATCGGCATCAACTCTACTGGGACCCATCCGTGGTGGTCTGATGGCTCTTTGAGGCGCGTGCGAAACGCGTCGCGACGTAAGCTCGGGTTTGGTTCTGTGGGCTTACTCTTGAATCCAATTCCGATCGATCGACATTGACATTGTGAAATTTCATACTCTTGAGTTACACTAGCGCCCATTGCCTCCGTATTGCGTGGATATTGAATGAATTATATAATATTGAATTTGGCTTTATATTCCGTACTCTGAATGCTACTTTAACAGCTACGACTGGGGTTGTATAGTTTTGACATTGCATACTTATTGAGATTTTATTGGATAGGAATTGCATTGACATTGTGATTGGTTTCAAGAGTAAGCACCCAGACCAGTCCCAGTTGTCGGCGCCCGTTCACGAACATCCGCAGTCCGCAGGCCCGTGCTTACGGTGGCTGGAGATCGTTGACTTCGCCTACTTACAATCTTACTAATATTATAAATTCTAACGTTTATATGCATGCCTGTTTGTTTGTTAGTTTGTTTGTTACTGCTTCACGTCAAAACGGCTGAAGTGATTGGGATGAAATTTGTAACAAGATAGATTATGGTCTGGAATAACACATAGGCTAGTTTTTATCCCACGGTAACGCGGGCGACGTCGCTGGCGGAAGCTGGTTTATAAATAATGAACGGTACTTAAATAGAATGACTATAGTAATAATACCGTTCATACCATTAATCCCCGAAAGGGTAGGTAGAGGTGCACCTTCCGGCACTCAATGCCACTATATAATTTAACACCCACTTTTCACTACTAATGTTATAAGTCCCATGTAATAGGGGGTGAGTCTATTGCTATATACCGGGCACAATTTCAAGCTCCGTGCTACTACTGAGACTTGAAAAAAAATACCAGTAATACTTTGACCTACGCGGAAATCGAACCCGAGAGCCCTTGCCCGGCAGTCGCACTTGACTAGACCCAGCCAACGAGGCAGTCAAGAAAATTTTGTTCGGTATTAAAAGCATGTCGAGTATATAGCCGCCTCTTTTGTTCGAGATTCGTTAGACCGGTTTGTACGTTTGTCCTAGGAACCAATGTTTCTTTATTCATTTGTTATCTAGTCTAAGTATCTAGTCATTTTTTTAAAGATTGCCGTTGTATTGTTCTTTTTAAAACATAAGTTTTTTTAATGTCATAAACCGGTAAACGAGCAGACGGATCACCTGATAGTAAGCAATCGCCGTCGCCCATGGATATCTGGAAAACCAGAGGCGTTACAAGTGCGTTACCGGCCTTTTTGGGGATAAGAAACTGGGGGTTGTTGGGGATTTGGGGGGAGATTGGGAAACCTCATACACACGACGAAACACAACGCAAGCGTTGTATCACGTCAGTTTTCTGCTCGGCCGTGGTATCACTCCGGTCGAGCCGTCCTATTCGTGCCGAAGCCTGGCCCTCCCACACTTTTTTTTTTTAAATAAACGTTGCCCCACACTAGGATTTTCTCCTGTGTCGTCGTCGTCCATACACAATGACACCCAGACCCGAAACAACAATTTGTGGATCACACAAAGTGTTGTCTCGTGCGGGAATCGAACCCGCGACACGTTGCACGGCAGCCAGTTGCCCAGCCACCGCACCAACCGTGCAGTCTTAAATTAGTAAATTACACATATATTAGTTTACACCTGGTTTCTAATAATAGTACCTGAATTTTACCAGTGACCTTAATCCGGCCACTCCCCATTCCCTATTCCCTTGCTAGCTATATGGAGTAGCTATTTAGATGATATCATCCATTTGCATATAGAAAGGTGCGCCTAAAAGATGGATTGTAAGGTATCAAGGTTGTTCTGTCAGATAAACTCCGTTGTACGATCTTATTCAATGTCTATTATTACCTGAAGGGATAGGCAGGCATATACAACA